TTTTTCGAACAACCTAGTATGAGAGCCTGTTTTAGTACACCCCCAAAACAAATTCAAGACTTTGTAAAAGAGCATAATAGGACCCCTTTAAGAATATTAACCCATTTATTATGATTATTCATACAACATTGAATCATCTTTTTGTAATGGCTATTCAATGCTTTTTTTCCACACAATAATGACTTCAAATGATCTTTCGGGGAGTAATTTCTCAGCTAAAATTGATGTGCGTTTAATTTGTGGCACATCAGATTACAAATTTTAATTACTCAACAATTAAATTATAACTTATTAAAACCAAGCAACATAAGCAGACTCTAAAATGGTTCACTAACAGAGCATCATTTCAAGTTAATTTAGATTTGTGACTAAAAGTAGTGCTGTCTGAGCGGACGAGTTGTTTACTGCCTGACAGTGGAAAAAGAACAGCAAAGAGTGAACACTGAAAATCCTCTGTGTCCTCTGTGTGAGATGGACAGAGTGTCTGATGAAGGATTACAGGGCTCTGCTTCTTAATTCTTTGTTATTCACCACTGATAAATATCTGAGTTGAGGAGTTGCGAGAGAACTAGAAAACAACGCATAAAGATCACACGATTACATGTTCTCAGAATCACTGATAAAGCTGAGCTTATGTAGACAAGCTTAGTCTGTATAATGTGACTGTCGCTCAGTATTCAGGCTCGATCCGGTTTACTCAAAGAAACTAAAAACAGCACTGCACTTCAATACATCAAATGTGATAATGGTCATGAGGTCAGCCGAGCAACGCTGCCTTTTTTCAACAAGCAAGAGAAAACTATAACAGGAGCAAATTAAGTTAGGAGGTCTTGCACATCTATCTAAAGTGTGACGGCGCGTTGACAGAGTTAGTGTCAGGATAGAGAAAGTTAAGATAGGCTCGCATGATGAATAAAAGAGTGACCCATGCTGGTTGTTATGAAACCATAAGAGGAAGCTGGAGCAAAACCGAGGTGCTGGTCTATTTATAGATTTTGCTTTTGGAAATTGGTTGGGTTTTGGGTTTGTTTTGTGCAAGGGTCTTGTCCCAAGGGCTAAGATGCTACTTGAACTGGTTTAGGCTCACATTACAAGTCCTGCTTTAGTGTATGAGTTAAATGTGTGTAAACTGTCTCCATGTGAGTATTTGGAAAAATTTAATTTAAAATATATAAAAGATAAAAGATATAAAAATAATCACGTCCAAAGATGCAATCAGTGAAGAAACAAATCACAGTAATTACACCATGTACAACCCAAACTGAGTTTATGGGACAACGGGAGGATTAAGTCAATGATAAACTATAAATTTAGGCAAAAATGTAGTAAGTCACAGAATACATATCAAAATTAAATAAATTTAAGGGTTCTTAGAAATGTACTCTTTGTATTCATGTGGGTTTCATTTGGGTTAGAAAACCATTTTCAACAAGATTACATAAAACAACAAAATATAAAGTGGTGTAACCATGAAGTGAATAATATTAATAGATCTTTGGGCTCGTTATATATAATGTATCTATAAACAACCTAATTTGCATATTAATGATTTTTGGGGCAACATGTAATGAAAAAAGAAGTGTAATAATGGGAGTACTAATTGACAAGTAATAATTGATCATTTTCATAATAATATATAATATTTCATAGGAATATTGAAATATATAATTTTGCTTAGTCATTAAAAAGGTCAAATTTCCTAATATTTTTAAAGAGTTCCTGATCTTGTCAGTCATGAGGGTTTGCAGGTTTTTCCTGCATGTTGATTGTACCAGATTATTATTATTATTATTAATAATTTTTGTAACCTTTGTTAAATTATTAATTTTCTAAGAAAAATCTTCTTAGATTATACCAAAATTATTTTGACTTTTATTTTATAGATTTTTATCTTCATTTCATTTTTTATAGATACATGCCATATGACGACGTTTTAACATTACAAGAGATTTATCTTCTTAAGACCCGGCAAAACATTTTAGGAATTTTTTTTTTTTTCATGTCATTAAATTGTTTAGAGCATAAAAAAAATGTAAAAAAAAATTATAATAAAAAAAAAAAAGAAGATCACATTTTGCATAAAGAAAAATGGTATATCAAATTATAGTTCAGAATTATCTTTATACAAAGTTTGGTAAAAAAAAATCTTGAACACTAAAAATCTATTGGTGATTTAAAAAAAGTCAATTGTTTTTGCATGCATAGGCAAAAACAATTGACTTTTTTTAAATCACCAATAGATTTTTAGTGTTCAAGATTTTTTTTTACCAAACTTTGTATAAAGATAATTCTGAACTATAATTTGATATACCATTTTTCTTTATGCAAAATGTGTGTAAAATGGCCATTTGATATTTTTTAGGAATCTCAGAGCTGTCTGACCCTGCATAGACAACAATACAACTGAAATGTTCCCAAGTCCTGAAACGTAGCAAGGAGATCTGTTAAATAATCCATGTGACATCAGGGGTTCAACCGTAATTTTACAAAGCTACGAGAATACTTTTTGTGTGCAAAAGA